GTGAGTCACAGCTTAAGCACAAAAAGAGAACAAGTGAAATATTGTTAATAAAAAGTGGCAGCGCGCCCGATACGGGACTTGAGCCCAAGACTCTCAGATTAACAGTCTGATGCTCTACCGACTGAGCTAACCGGGCTCACATGATGTGGATGCTAACAGGAAAAAACAAACAGTCTTTTCTTCGATGTCTGAATACTTACTTTAGCCAGTTTGATTATTTTATGGAGACAATAAGATAGACATCGCCAGATTTAAAGTGTCGGTTACATTCTTTGTGTCATAAACCAAACAACAAAGTAACTATTTTGGCCAATCACAAGGGTCACAGTCAATCCAGTGAACTAATCAAAATACAAAGCAAATACATGTAGCCGACACAAAGCGCCGGAAAAGGTGTGCAAGCAAGTCACGATTGGTTTTGGTTTTACATCTCTGAACTGGACAAAAAAGTGACGCGCGCTTTTTTAAACCGATCGGTTAGCGTTGCTACTGACACTACCACAGAAAATGCAAATTTCCTTCGACCCTCAAGTGAAAACCACAATACCAGAAAAATGTGAATGGTTTTACACCCACTTTCGGGAGTTTAATAAAGCAATGTTAATTTGGTTCTAAAAGATTTCCATTTTACCGTCAAATCCTCGACAGAGTAGTGGTGAGTATCCCCGCCTGTCACGCAGGAGACCGGGGTTCGATTCCCCGCCGGGGAGAAACTTTTTCTTTCGTTATACGACCATATTTTTCTTCTGTCGTAGTAACCGATAAACTAGCATCAACTGGTGTTACCAAGAGATTATCAAGGTACTTAACTTGATAATCTCTTGGTATAATTTTTTTTTTTTTGAGTTACGAAATAATTTGTAAGTTAGCTAACGATTGTCATTCTTTCCTCAACACAGTGCCCACATGTCGTGATTCTAAAGTCAATCTTTTATCTTATTACGTATGTGTCAGTATTTTATTTCATAGACACGCCAGAAGTAAAAATAAATGCCACGCCTTATAATTAAGGCAACTGTACACAGGCTGCGAGAAAAAAAATCAAAATACTCTTTTAGTTTGGCTATCGTAGCTTAACAAGAAATAACACGCAAACTGTGGTGATAACCAAGAAAATAATACAAAATTTTGGTTTTAAAAGAAACTATGTTCAGATTTCAGTACCGTATTGATCGTGAGTCACAACTCCATCACGAGAAAAAAAGAAATGAAATATTGTTAACAAAAAGAGTCAGCGCGCCCGATGTATATGGGACTTGAACCCGCGACCCTCAGGTTAAAAGTCTGATGCTCTACCAACTGAGCTCACGTGTTGAAGAAAGAGGGACAACATGACCTTTTTTCGATGTCTCAATAATCACTTAGCTTGAGATTGATAATATGGAGACAATAAGATGGTAAATATCGCCAGTTTTCAAGTGTTGGTTGCATTGTCAGAGTAGTCACTCTGGAATATCCTGTTAACATATCAACAGATCAAAACTCATAGTAACTACATGAAGCAGACGTAAAGCGCGGGAAAATGTGTGCAAGCAAGTCACGATTGGTTTTGGTTTTTCTTCTTATTGGATAAAGAGGTGACGCGAGCTCTTTTTAAGCCAATCGCTTAGCGTAGTAATGCACAAAACCCAGAAAAGGCGAATCGAATTACTTTCGACACTCAAGTGAACACTCAAGTGATAACCGCTATACCAGAAAAGATGTATTGTTTCACACCCACTTTTGGGAGCTTCAAAAAGCAATGTTGATTTGCTTTAAAAATACTTCTATTTTACCATCAAATCCTCGGTAGTATAGTGGTGAGTATCCCCGCCTGTCACGCGGGAGTCCGGGGTTCGATTCCCCGCCGGGGAGAATTTTTCCTTTCCTTCCTGTTTCTTGTTTTTCCTCTATCAAAACCGAAGAAACCAAACATCGACTGCTAATAAAAATTTTTTAAGTGATGAAACAATTTGAAAGCTGGTTATTGTCTTTCCTTAGCACAGTGCCGACATGTCGCTCTTCTAATGAACATTCTTTTATATCCTATTGCTACGTGTGTATCGTATTTTACTTTATAGGCACATACTTGAGCTACTGAATAGTCAGTAAGCTTTACAGCTTCTATTCAAAATGCTTCGTCTTAGGAGAGCTGTTCTCAGCCTACGAGAAAAATCGAAACATTTGGTGTAAAAAAAGTTCTTTTCAAATCGCAGTCCTGTGCTGTTCGCGAGTCATAGCTTCAACACAAAAAGAGAGCAAGTGAAACATTGGTAATAAAAAAAAGAATTCAGCGCGCCCGGTATGGGACTTGAACCCATGGCCCTCAGATTAAAAGTCTGATGCTCTACCGACTGAGCTAACCGGGCTCACGTGTTTTGGATATAAAGAAGAAAGAAAACTTGTCCTTTTCTCGTTGCCTCGATAAGCACTTAGTTTGACATTTATAATATGGAGACAATAAGATGGTACACATCGCCAGTTTTCAAGTGTTGGTTGCATTGTCAGAGTAATCACTCTGGAATATCCAGTTAACCTATCAACGGATCAAAACTCATTGTAAATACATGTAGCCGACACAAAGCGCGGGAAAATATGTGCAAGCAAGTTACGATTGGTTTCGGTTTTACTTCTTATTGGATAAAAAGGTGAGGCGAGCAGTTTTTAAGCCAATCGCTTAGCGTAGTAATACACAAACCCAGAAAATGCGAATCGAATTATTTTTGACACCCAAGTGGAAACCGCCATAACAACAACAACAACCATTTATTTGTACTCACAATTTATAAAATAATTACAATTATTGTCAAGTTTGTGAGAAGGATAACCAAGGATAAGTTTCATAAAGCCCGAAGGAAGTTAAACGATCTTTCAACCAAGGATCTTGGTTCCCCAATTGCCCAGAGAATCTTCATCGCAGAGAGTCTCACCCAGAAAAATAAGGAGCTCTTCAAGGAAGCTTACCAAGCTCATACCAGAAAAGGTGTATTGTTTCACACCCACTTTCGTCAGCTTTGTACGTCAATCCTCGGTAGTATAGTGGTGAGTATCCCCGCCTGTCACGCGGGGGACCCGGGTTCGATTCCCCACCGCGGAGAAATATTTTCTTTCGTTATACCACCATATTTTTCTTCTGTCGTAGGAACCGATGAACTAGCATCAATTGGTGTTATCAAGAGATTATCAAGGTACTTACCTTGGTAATCTCTTGGTATTATTATTTTTTTTTTTAATTATGAAATAATTTGTAAGTTAGCTAACGATTGCCATTTATTTATTCTTTCCTCAACACAGTGCTGACATGTCGTGATTCTAAAGTCAGTCTTTTATCTTATTACGTATGTGTCAGTATTTTATTTTATAGACACGTACGAGGTAAAAATAAATGCCACGCCTTATAATTAAGACAGGCTGCGAAAAAATAAAACAACCAAAATACTCTTTTACTTTGGCTATCGTAGCCAAGAAATAACATGCAAACTGTGGAGATAAACATGACAATAACGCAAAACGTTTGGTTTTAAAAAGAAACTATGTTCAGATTTCAGTCCCGTACTGATCATGAGTCACAACTCCATCACGAGAAAAGAAGAAATGAAATATTGTTAATAAAAAAGTCAGCGCGCCCAATATGGGACTTGAACCCATGACCCTCAGATTAAAAGTCTGATGCTCTACCGACTGAGCTAACCGGGCTCACACGATGTGAATTCTAACAGAAAACTGAACGTTTCTCATGCACTCCTCAGTGTCCAAATACTTATTTAACCATGTAGTGAGATTTTATTATTTTATGGAGACAATAAGATAGTAGACATCACTGGTTTTCAACTGTCGGTTATATATTGTTTGTGTTATAAAACAAAAACCAAAGTACTTACCCTGTCTAAGCACGATCTAAGGACCACAGTCAATCCAGTGAACCAATCAAAACGCAATGTAAATACAACGGCCGACGCAAAGCGCGGGAAAACGTGTGCGAGCAAGTCACGCTTGGTTATGGTTTTGCTTCTTCTTGGATAACGAAGAGACACTTTTGTTTTAGGCCAATCGCTCAGCGTAGTAATGCACAGCCCAAGAACTTGATGCCAATTACTTTTGACACTTAAGTGAAAACTACCCAACCATAAAAAGTGTATTGTTTTACACCAACTTTCGGGAGTTAACAAAGCAATGTTGATTTCTTTTAGATTATTTCCATTTCACCATCAAAGTCTCGGTAGTATAGTGGTGAGTATCCCCGCCTGTCACGCGGGAGACCGGGGTTCGATTCCCCGCCGGGGAGAACGTTTTCTCGCCTTATACTTTACCATTTTTCTTCTATGACAACCGATAAAACAAAACATCAATTGTTAATAATTTTTTCTAAATTATGAAACAATTTGAAGGCTAGAGACATGTTGTGATTGTAAGTTGAAATCTTTGACATCCTATCGCCAGTTTCGTGTTTCATTTTATAGACACATATTTGGGTAAGAATAGTCAGTAAGCTTTACAGCCTCCCATTAAAAATGCTGCGTCTTAAGGCAGCTGTACTCAGGCTACGACGAAGATCGAAAAGAAGTGATGCTCAAATTGCAGTCCTGTGCTGATCGTGACTCACAGCTCCATCACGAAAAGAGAAGAAGTGAAATAATGTTAACAAAAAGAAATTCAGCGCGCCCGATATGGGACTTGAAGCCATGACCCTCAGATTAAAAGTCTGATGCTCTACCGACTGAGCTAACCGGGCTCACATGATGTGGATGCTAACAGGAATAAACAAAATTGTCCTTTCTTCGATGTCTGATTACGTTTTCTAGCAAATGAGACAATGAGGTACGAAACATCACAAGTTTTTAGCTGTCGGTAATCACTCTGGTCAATCACAATGGCCATAGTCAATGCAGTGAACCAATCAAAACGCAAAGCAAATACTTGTAGCCGACACAAAGCACGGGAAAACGTGTGCGAACATGCCAGGATTGGGTTTGGTTTTACTTCCTCTTGGATAACGAAGTGACACGAAATTTTTAAGCCAATTGCTTAGTATAGTATTTTATTCCTACATCCCTGGCCGAGATTACAAAGAAATATATGTAAAACAACTCCCGTTGTTTCGAACTCAAGCTATTTCGGAATTCCGGACACTTTGTGTAGTCCCAAACTAATATGCTTATTGATCTACAGTCGTTACATATAACTTTGACGTATAAGTAGACTATTGAATGACATAATTATTCTGCGGTCTTCAAATGTTTTCACTACTTTGTACGTAATGTTGACCTCTATTAATTGTTGATAACATCAAAGTAAATGTACTACAGTTTAAAGAAACTGGAAATCGTATAAGAATATAACAGTCACATACGTTATATGTGACACTTAACAACCAAACAGTGAGTCATGTTCATCACATCCCGCTATTGCGGACGGTCCTGAGGGCGCCCGTACTTCATTAGTATAGGCGCGCACGATATATGACTTGTCCTGTTTTATATTTAAAAGAAAAGCGTCAATTGGCTAAGTACTTACTACTTAATCTATGCTTTTAGGAAAACGTCAAGGCCTATCAGTTCAGTTTTGTTATACAAAACTTCACGACGTTTTAACGGTACATTACAGCTAAGGCTCTTTAATTTGTGGACTGCACTCTGATTAGCACTCCATCTTTCGCCGACAAAGTAATGCCTTCACGAATCTCAAGGGGTACTTGTGTCTCAGGAGATGCCAGAAACTTGTACTTCATCAGAATTCTCACTAGAGCAATCTTGACCTCCATCAATGCGAACCTCATACCGATGCAATTCCTGGGCCCGGCGCCAAACGGCAGGAACTGGAAAGCATGGCGGGCGTGTTTGGCGGGACCACGGAATCTCTCGGGATCAAACTTCTCCGGGTTCTGCCAAGCGTCGGGGTCATGATGCAGGACATATATTGGAATCATGATCTCCGTGCCAGCTGGAATATGGATTCCATTGAGATCATAATCCTCGCAGCATTCTCGGTTGACGTGTGGAGCCGCGGGACACAGTCGCTGAGACTCCTTGATGACGCAATCAAGGTACTCCATGTTCTGAGCCAGTTCGTAAAGAGACTTCCTCTTGGCATTGGACTCCACGGTTTCTTTGATCTCTGTCCTCAGCTTGTCTTGAACATCTGAGTTTAGAGCCAAGTGATAAAGGATAAAGCTCAACGTGTTGCTTGACGTTTCGTAGCCAGCCAGAAGGAAGATGATCGATTGAGCTACAATCTCGTCATCGGAAAGTTTGCTGACCCCTTCCACCGTGGTCTCTTCGTTGGCGGTCATCATGAGATGGAGCAAATCTTTCCGTCCCGTCAGCCCCTGTTGGCGCCGTGTTTTGATGATTTCTTTGACCACGTCTCCTAGATATATCGCCGGGTTTCCACGTACAGAGGACATTATCTTAAGGAGCAATTTGCCAAATGGCAGGCGGGCTATCAGTCTGACCATGAACGGCACTTCAAACAGGGCCTTGGCCTTCTCAAGCGTTTCGGTGTTTTCTCCCATTTGTATGTTCGCGTCCACACCAAAAGCAGTGGATAAAATCGCTTCCAGAGTTAGCTTGCTGAACCAGTCCAGCATGTTGACACTTTGATCTATGAAAGAAATCATGCCGCCGAAAGTTAGAAAAACCTATTTTTATAAGAACCGTGCACTAATAATCACTAATATTGCTGACTACTATAGTAAGACAAGACTAAAAAAAATTCTTAACAAAAGATCTTAAAACTTTCACTTTCGTGGCTATTTTTTTTTTACGGTCATATTTTCTACGACTAGCAGTTGAAATCGTCCAATTTTACGCCTAACGGCTACATAAATTTGACCCCACTCCTTAATATAAAGTCGAAGTAAGTGATTATATTTTCGATCATCCACATTGTGTGTCTTTCTGTCTATATCTTTAGAAAAATTCTGTGACTCTTCCCGAAATCCACCACCGGTACTACTATTCTGTCCACAGTCCCTCTATTTTGACTTGAGTTCGTCCGGGTCGTAATTCAAGCAAATTAAAATACTAGTATACCTATAAGGTAGTGAATGCTGCTCTTCTCGCTTGTGAGGTGCATATAATGCACAAATAAGCCAACAGAATCATGAAACAATAATAACGATGATGTACAACAGCTAGTAGTTTGCTTTAGCTGAACAGTTTTCGAAGGCTTTCCAATAGGTGGCACCGAGGAAGCCTCCCCCGCTAAAATGATCCACTTAAGCCTCAAGAGATGCGACTCAAGGGATGGGGAAAACAATCAGAAAACGATTAATACTGACCTGAATCGGCAATTTTCTCGAGCTTTTCCATCAGTGTGTCGCACGACTTCTCGATCAATGGCAACATCAACTTCATCTTTCCCGCGCTGAAGGTGGGTGTCAGTGTGGACCGGATCCGCTTCCAGGTTTCATCTTTTGCCTCTAACAGGTTTTTCTCGAATGGATGACCCGGGAACTGCATTTGGAAACGATTTCGAAAGTTTGGAAAATCTTTGATCATTATTTGCTTCAACATCTCTGGATCTGCAACGACAAGCGTTGGTTTACCACCCAGACACATGGCAAAAACTTTGCCGTACTTCTTGGAGTAGTCGAGACACATCAGGTGCAGTACACCATATTTCCTCGTTTCGAGAAAGTTCCCAAAATATGGAACAGGTTTGGGGCCGGGTACGTTGAGCTTCTTGAGGTCAGCGAAACCACGTGTTCCATACCAGTAGAGGAACATAACTGTCAGGAGCAAAACTGATGCGATGGCTCCAGGATGAGCGAGGGGTTCCAAAGACAACATCTCCTGTAGGAATTCCATCCTTGAAATCTTCAACTTCGCGGTACTTGTAGCAAGCCTGGAAGAAAAATCAGTGGATTCAGCGCAGGTTAAATCTTTTGTTTACAGAGCAAATGCCAACATCACGAAAACAAAACTTAACACATCTCACTGCAAACTGCATCAGATTAGATCAGACACAGCTATAGGTTTTTAAGAACCAGACATCCGGTAAATTGCCCGTTTGTGAACATATCTCTGGCTGACAGCTCTATAACATACCGGCGTATCCACACTCTTTTTTTTACACACATTACTTTACAGAACGGATTTTAAGTCTTGACCTCTTGTTCGAAATATTAATGCGCCTAAAAGTTATGTTCATTAGTAAAATTAATAATAGTTACTGACCGAAAAAAATGTAACTTACAACTCAGAGTACGCTTTTGTAATGCCGCGCTGTAACACGAACAGGTGAAGTGACTCACTGGACAAAGGATACTAGCGACAACTTGCTTATATACTGCAGGCATTACGAAATGTTCGACGCAAAAACTGCAACGTAATGTTATCGTGACGTCTTCATGATCAGATGGCCTTGGCCTTTGCGAAGATTATGTGTACTGTATTCAAATGCCAGCGGAAAATGTTTTATTATTCTACAGTTAATTGTCTTTCTTCAGTCAACAAATGGTTATGAGCTAATCAGTTCGCTTTGAACTGTCTTAGCAGCAAGTGAATTTCTCAGGTTGATGCTTACGGCGCGAAACAAGACAAATTTTGCTCAGTTCCTTCACCCACGTCCATTTTAGCTCCTAACCTAGAAAATCATTTTTGTACACTTAATGAGTATAGCCAGGGTTTCATACAAATACTCCAGAAAATAGATTCTGCGGGCCTACTCAGATGGAACGGCCGGTGACCCAAAATGGCAAATTGACAACAAATAATAAATATTGGTACAATATCCTCTAATTCCTTTGAGATCCCTGAATCGGCGAAATTTACAAAATGGCTATTCCTGTCAACAGGCGAGTTTGTGTGCGTTAATGAAGGTCAACGAAGGTTGTTCAATGTCAAGGTCATTATTATTTCGTCATGCCTTCTGCTCAGTCATCTCAAATCAGCAAAATACTCCATGAGTTTGGGAGCACTGATGTTTGCTACCTGGCTGTGTCCCTCAGCGATACTTTAAATACAGTCGAACCTCTACTTACAGCCACCGCTCTATTTATTGTAGTAGATCCACATCAGCCCTTTGGCGACCTTTATTCAAACTTACTTCACTAAAATAAAATGTGTATGTATCTAAAACGGCTATTCTTCAACGGCCACCACTCTAAAACGGCTACTCTTGAACTGTCATTTCTCACGGTATAACGGCCAATTTTTTGCCCCGGCGGACGGTCCACACATTTACTCTTATTTTAATCTCTCCACAACGGCAACGGTCACTAAAACGTGTCACAACTGCCAAAATAACTTCTCGCCAACGGCCAGTCAACGACTAACGAACAGTGTATACAAAACCACATTTTTTCGTAAAAGGTCATGAAACTTCAGCGACTTCAGCAGTACCGCGCGTCGATCGTTGGTGTCTGTTTCTGTTTGGTTTCTGTCTTATTGATATATTTTGGTTGTGTTACATACTCACACGCAACAATAAGCATTTTCGAGGACAAAAATGTTGCATCCCCCAAATTTAAAGGTGTCATAATATTATTANATTGGTCGATAATTATTCAAACTAGTATGTGAACCTTTTTTAAATACTGGAATAACTCTAGCTATCTTGAAGCTACTTGGTACTATCCCTGATGAAAAAGAGGCATTAAATAATATTTCTAATGGTTTAGATATTACTTGCTTTATAAGCTCCAGTGCTGTAATTGGTATGCTGGAGGGTTCACAGGCCTTACCAGCTTTAAGGCTTGCGATTTCAATTTCAATTTCTGTAGCTGTTACAGGAAAAATAAAGAAACTATCGGGATTTAATACTATTATACTTCTGAAACTTTTAATAATGACAATGACATTATTGAATGCTTTAATGGAAAAAATTCCTTTTCAGCACTAAATTGTAATATTAGGAGCCTTTCTGCCAATTATGACAATCTTGTAAATCTGTTATCTGAATTAGCCTTTACATTTTCCTTAATAGGTCTCACTGAAACCAAAATTAAACTTAATCAAGATCCTATAGTAAACATTAAGTTATCTGGTTATCATTATTTATCACAACCTACTTATTCTAATGCCGGTGGTGTAGGTTTTTATATAAAGGAGGATTTAGAATTTTATCCTACCAACAGTGTCGTGTGTCCTAATCGCAGCCTCGACACATCTTTGAGTAAAAGCACGAATTCTAGTGATTTCATCAGATGCTTGAGCCACGACAGTTACTTTCGAGTCTTCCAAACAGTACTTTAATCCTTTATTAGTTTTCTTCGTCTTTTTATTGTAAACATCTTTGAGGTCAATTACTTGGATTTCTACTTCAACTTCTGAAATCTTGTTTGACGACTCTTGACCAGAGAGGGGGCTGCCTGCATCGTTTCCTGAAACCAACACTAGAACTGTAATATATTTTGATAGTCGAAATGTACTGGTCTAGAACACAACTCCACAGAAAATGGTTGTAGATTTAGTTTGGTATTAATGTTCTTGGTTTGCGGGAATTTTTCTAAGCGATAAGACTTTGTGGAACATACGCCGGGGCAGTGACTTTCGCATTGCAGGTCAGTGAGTTCTTCAGTGCGAGAAGTTTGTTTCTTCTTGGCCACGAACGAAAGAGGAACCTTCCGCGAGAAACCGTTCGTTTCTTCGAGTGAGCCACCGTTCAGCGCCTTGAACGAATAAAAAAGCCGGCAATTGCAAACGGTTGCTTGTAATGCGGGTTTCTATCTCGTTCGTGGCGGGGTAGAATCCAACTTCTCGCAGGGTAGGCGTGTTTAGAATCGCTTCATTACGTTCACAAAATTACTACAGTACTTATTTATGCCGTTTGACAACGCTCTTTATAACACTACAAGGAATAGAGGAAAACAAGTTACGTGAACTGACAATATTTCGCAAAATGCAAAGAGTATGACTGCTCTAATTTGCCAACATAACTTAGCCTTCGTTCTGCACTAAGAATGGTATACTCCACAATATGAGAATTTGAGATACGATAAACAAGAAGTGTACTCACCTAGTATAGCGTTCGAGAGTAATCCGCTCGACGCTCCTTCTGTTTCCAGCATGGAGCTTAAGTTGTGGATTTCTGGGGCAGTAAGTGGTTCTGTGACATTTAGAGGTGCATGGCCCAGCTCAGACTGAATAAACTCGTCAATATCGTTAAGTCTTTCCTCAAGGAAAGCGTCGATCTCGTGGCCACTCATTTGGATTAAAACAAATAGACTCGTGCGTTGAGTCCTTGAAATTAGATTTAGGATGATTTCTTATCTGAAGTTGTCCTTTTGGTCGGCTGCACTGAAAGGAAGTGTTAACCAGTTCGCCTAACGTGTTTTCATCGCCCTCGTGCTTGAGTAGTAGTGCGAGGGCGAGACAGGATAAACAAGCCTAGGAGTTGAGGGGGCGGAAAAATGGAAGCCACACATCTTGACAACGGAAGTGCTACCGGTCAGTTGATTCAAATTTCCCTCTTTGCTTTATTACAACACCTTATCGAAAGAATAGTCTCAATGTCCAATTCTGATGTTAAATACTTTAGAACTTACCGCGCGACTTCCCCGTCTACATTATATAAAATTCTGCATAACTGTATGTAGATAAATGAAGCGTGAAGCCTCAATAGTTACACAGACTGACACAATATCAGTTAATATCATCCCCTGTACACCACAGCTTAGGTTTGTTCGTTTCCCTTTGTACAGTCTTTGAATACACGCGGCCTCACAAGTTAAGTGATTGTGGTATAAATAAAGACGTCAGCGCAGGGGCATAGCGACCTCCAGATCCAGTAAAGTATATGTATATATATATATATATATATATATATATATATATATATATATATATATATATATATATATATATATA